TATTTATGTAAATCAAACTAAGTGAATTACACAGATTATATTATCAGTGATCAGCGGAAATCAACCTCTACTGTGGAGACAGCGCCACAGCACCTTACATTTTAAATTTAAAAGATTCTTTTTAGTCCATGCCTTGGTGTTCTGAAGTGTACCATGCTCGAGTACAGACTAAACCACAGAGATATTGGTACCTAGACAAAGCAGGATACAAATTTCTTTGGAGAAGTTACAAGTTGTGCCCATCTGTAATGTGGGGTCATTTAATATCTATGTATTTAAAAAAAAAATCTTTCATTAAGAGGGATTGATTTTAAAAGCCATTTGTTTTCCACATAACATTGTTTAGAGCAAATATATTCTACTGCATTTAAAATTAAGACAACTCTTCTATCAGTCACATAAGCTCACATTACTATGTTAACTGAAGAGCCTGCTACTACATGTTAGCGGAGTACTGGGTTGAAGACGCTTCAGCGTCTAAGGTATTCCAATTCCTACTCCAAGTACAATGTCCTCATAGGACAAACATAGCATATAACATTTACTATTTCTCTCTCCTCTCCTGCTATTAATGAGATATAAAACCAGTTTAAGACTTTAAGTAATTTGTTCTTCAGAGAACTTTGTGCAAAATTCAAATCCAAAGTGAATGTTAATGGCAGATAAGAGGTCTCATAAAAGGGAACAGTGCCAACTCCACCAATCCCCAAGGCTGTTATTTGAACTAAAAAATTAAGTGATTGTGTCTATTAAACAAAAAGATCAGCACAGTAATTGGATAGACAAACTGACTTAAGATTCTTAACATTCACAGATGAATACTTTTAAAATGTATAGTACTGTCACTGCCAAAAATATAAAAGAAAATTTGCACCAGAACTTGCTCCAGTCTACAACTCTTGCCAACACAAAGTGGTCCCACGGACCTGGCACTTACATTTATTCCAAAGTGTTCTGTAACACCTCGTCCATGTTCTCCAAGTACCCCAAAGGAAAGACTTTCCTCCAAAAAAATCCTCACTTTGTATTTATATTTCAATTTTATCTGCAAATACATTTAATAGTACAAATGATACAAGACAGTAATATGACAGTACAAATGATACAAGACAGGCATACTTTGCAAAGAAATAAGGTAGGTATAGAAAAGATGGAAAATTCTGTGGAATATCTTAAAGTATTCTGACTAACGCAAGACTGTTCATCCCACTAGATTGCTCAGCTATTTTGTGCTTTTTAAGTTGGCCACATCATTACCACTGTTTAAAGACTTTAAGTATAGGAAATCTAAAATGCCAGTAATGAGACCTATTCTTTTCGTTTTAACAAACAGGCTATAAAATACTTTAAAATATTATGTAAAATATTCACAGTATTCTCTCCTTTACCATCGGGCACAGTGTTGCATACATGCTATTCATGTTTAGTTAAGATTGTACTCCTTGGAGAGAAGCATATTGTTTTCATATTTAAGAGACCAGCCTCAATTTTTAAATGAAAATTAAAAAAAAAAAAAAAAAAGGAATATTAAACTTATCAGGAATACTCCGTAAAAACGTATCACTGCTTACAATTATGATACGTACATTATAAGACTGCAAAATTCTGAGCCTGATTATGAACTCAAAAAGTCAGTTCTAAAAATCCACTTTGTAGCTAACAGAAAAAGAGTGATAATATTCTATTTTAGAAACGTAATCATGAATAAGTGAAAGTTTAAGGTTGCACGCAAAATATTGCCTTCCCTTACTTTTAAAGGCTCAAACATGCAATATTAATACGCTATTAGTAATTTGTCTGCATAATGCACACAACTTAAACAAAATGAACCCACTTACCAATTCTGGAAGAGGACAAATATCTCCAGTATTCACATATAATCCTTCCACCAGAATAAACCTTCGCGTTACACAGGCCTTACGAGGATTCTTCAGAGAGAAAGTATGTTTCAGTACGTAAGTTGTCCAACAACAAAAAAATGCAAACTTATTTAGGTTTTTTTTTTCTTCAAACCAAATAATTTTTATTTCCTAGTGAGATACACTGCAGCTCTTATAACCATATGAAGTGTCTTACAATTGGCTATTTAGCTTTATTATTTTTAAAGTTGCCGTATCTTATATGATATTTAAGATTCCATATTACTGTGTAACATCAGGGACAGAATACCATCAATTCAGTTAAACTGCATGTTTATGCTAAGGGAACAGAATTCAGAACTGTACACTCAGAGGGCTCTACCAGAGAATAAAAATGCTCCCTTAGCTGTTGGCAGCATTCAGGGTGTATTTCCTCTGCAACAAAAGAGGTAAGTGGAAACAGTGTAGTTTAAAGACTTTGACTGCAGTAACTTTATGTTGAAAAGCCTTAGTCTCATTTCAACAGAATCCTATTACAAGTGCCCTTTTGTAGCCACCTCAAATATATTCTTATGCTAGAAGGTTTACCTACTTTTTTTTTTTCTTCATTTAAATCATTGCTCGGGGAAGGGGGTAAGGAAGAGGGGTTCAATTTGCAGGTTTCCCCAGAGAAAGAGACTCAGCCCTCTGACTGCAGTAAATTGGGGCCAGGTGAAAAGTGCCTTTCCATATTTGCTGCAGTTCCAGTAGGCACAGTCAGGAGAGGGGTGCATGTCTCCCAGCTGAGGCAGGTCCAGGTTTGTCCGCTGCCAGCACACCCCAGCCAGACTGAGGAATGTAGCAAACCATGCACTTTCCCCTAAGTTCCTGATGAAGGAGGACAGCCAGCAATGTTCCCACATGAATGGAGGGGGGAGTTGCAGCCCCCCCCCCCAAAAGGGCACCTAGGGGAACAGTAGGCTTTAGGGTGGGGCAGTCCTGGGTGCGGAGGGAGGCACACCACCATCCAGCCCCTTTTACCTGCCTGGTGATCCTATTCCTTTTCTGTACTGTTTTATGCATCCCCATACACACTGGAGGAGCTGTAGGCCTCCCCCACACCTAAACCCTTACCCTGCTTTAAGTTATGTAAGAGGAAGCTGAATACTAAGTTTCGTGGTCCTAGCTCAAAAACTTTAGAATGAGTATTTGAACAAATGTACAGATGGACTCGCTTGTTCATAGACAAACCCTCTCAAATATATAGTAGGCAGTATATATAGTAGGCAGTATATATAGTAGATAGTAATCGAATAAGGCCAGAAGGGACCCATGTGATCATCTACTGTGACTAATACAGGCCCTAGGACTTCCCTGAATTAATTCCTGTTTGAACTTCTCACAGAAAACAAAACAAAACCCACCATTCATTCTTGATGTGTAAATTGCCAGTACCAGAGGAATCACAATACTTAGAATGCTCCAATGGTACATGTATTCACACTATTAATATGCACCTTACATCAAGACTGGATTGGAGTACATTTACCTGCTGCCTGAAGAGCCCTCATCAAAATTCTATTCCCCATGTAAGTAACTAGACTGACTGAGTTACCCCTTACCTCATGAATCTTGCCTAGAAGGTATGTTTTTCAATTCTTCAATAATTTTCCTGGCCCTTTTCTGGATCCTTTCCAAGTTACTCACATCATTCTGGAATTGTGTACATCAGACACGGACAGTATTCTTGCCATGGTCATACCAGTGCCAAAAAGCAGAAGCTAAATATCATCTTTACTACTACTCACAATGCCCCTATTTATACATTAGCCCTTGCAGTCAGATTCATATTAGTTTCCAATGTTCAGCTGATTATCCACAAGGGGCCTCAAGTCTTTCTGTATATCAGCCTCTCATTATGTAAACACAGTCTGCATTCCCCTCCTTCCCCCCCAAAGATCTAGGGAATATTTGGTTGTATTAAAACGCATTGTTTTCCTGAGTCAAGCTTACCAAGTGATCCATGTTGCCTCTTCACCTGTCCTCTAGTATTTACTACTCCTATTCCCTCAATCTAGATATTTGCAAACTGTTATATTTTCTTCCAGAATATTGATAAAATCGTTACATATCCTAGAGCCAAGAACTGATACTTGTGGGACCTAACATCTGCTCATTCATTTCCCTTTATAGTTACATGCTGAGAATTAGTAGTCATTTTTAAAACAATTGTGCCATGTTAATTTCCCATTGTTCTAGTTTTTTTTTTTTAAAACAATATGTCATGCAGTCCAAGTCAAATGCCTTACAGAAGCTTTATTATATCACATCAACACTATTTTCCTCAAATAAGTAAACTTGTAACCTCAAGAAAGGTAGACACTTTCCCATAAACCCACATTGATTGCAAATAATTATATTATTCACCTTTAATTCTTTGGGAGATGGGTAATTATATGCTAATCAAAATCATCCTGCTTACCCTTTAATACTGGCACAACATTAACTTTTTTCTAAGCTTCTGGGAGTTCTCTATATTCCAAGACATATTTTAAAAAAAAGCCACCCCAATAATCCTAAGCACCCCTTGACCAGTTTTTTAAAAGCATGTAAGTTAATTGCAACTGCTGATTTAAAGATTCTAGCTTTAGCAGCTACTGTTTAATGTCCTCTCAAATTACTGGTGGAATAGAAGTATTTCATCATCATATTTGGCTCCAACAATAATTTGTATAATTAGGAAGCATGTGGAAAAATCACCTCACCTCTTGTAAAATTCTGGATCAATTATTTATTGATAAAGTTCAGACTGTTAAACAGTCTGATTTACTTAGAGCAGGGGTGGCCAACCCATTAAAAAAAAAAAAAAGAGTTGAAACAGTGGCAGAAAAAAATGCAAAGAGCCACACTAGATTTTTTTTTTGGACTACTTTGTTGAGCAATAAAATAAAATAAAATAAACCCGCTGCCCCTTTAAAAGACAAGGCTCTTAGCCACATCAGGCTCCTGTCAGCAGCTACTATCTTGGCAACGCCATTTCGAATTGCTGCACCAGACTGTTGCCCTGCCCCAGTGAGCACAGGGAGCTGGGGGCCGTTTCTAGTGGCACAGGAGCGGCATCGCGAGCTGCACTTTAGGGGGGACGGGAGGAGAAAGAAAGAGCCACATACCACGGCTTGTGAGTCGCATGGCCACCAAACTCAGGGGCTTTGAAACGTAGGATGAGGGCAATTACACAGATTTCAAAATAATTGTATAGGTACAAACACTGTTTAAATCACACGCCGTTAGTGACCACTTCCCATCACCTACTCTTAACAATGCAATCATGGTAAGGTGTAACAGCCATGTCCATTTTAACTATAACATCAAAATTAAGCATTTATATATAAAACAAATAATCATGAGTACTGGATTCAAATATACAACCTAGTTAAGAAGGGCAAAGACTACAAAGAAATTTTACCTTTTGATCTTCAATCTCTTGTTCTCTCAGAAGTCGCTCAAGGTCAGCCATATCATTATGTTTAAATAACTTAATGTTACTTCGAGATGCCTGTAATCCTTTCTGAATAGCAAAGCAGGCAGCTTCATCTCTAAACACAGAACACTTTCATTTTGCATTTGATTTGTTAATCATTTTTAACTAAAAGCAAATTGGAGCTGCTTTGCTTTTAAACTGTCACGTATACTTGTATAGGCATAAATAAATCTATGTTATTACACTTAATTGTAATCAATTTAAAAATTGGTTTCTAAAACCTGTTACCCTCTGTCGTACCCTCTGCTTTGTGGAAACATTTACATTTTAGTCATGAAATATACTCCTTAGAAATTACTTTAGAGAGACCCTCTAAACTAAAGCAAGAGCCAAAGCACAGAAGTTATACTAGTATCTAATTATGCTGAATTATTCATAAATATTTCTGAAAGTTGGTTTGTTTGTCTGAAAGATCTGTGAAATGGTAAGAGCTAGAAACACCAAATTTTGCACGGATACTACTGATTTTAAATAACTGGATTGGTTATATCTCAAAATTGGTTCCCCAGAGCCCCAACTGAGCCACTAATTAGCTTTTAGTAGTGCCTGATCATAGGCATTTGCTGTATTCTTCTGTTAAGTGCGTCTCAAACTGCAACTACGAGATCCTTTCTCTATGGGTGTGTCTAGACTACAGAATTTTGTCGACAAAAGTGGACTTTTGTCGACAAAACTATACCTGCGTCTACACTACCGCTGAGTTCTGTCGACATAACGTCGACAGAACTCAGCAGTTTTGTCGACGCTGGTAAACCTCATTTTACGAGGCATAACACATTTTGTCGACAGAGTTCTGTCGACAGAAGGTGTTATTGCATCTAGGGTTGTGTCCAGACTACAGGGGTTTGTCGACAAAACAACTTGCTTTGTCGACAGAACTGAATGTAGTCTAGACACTTTGTCGACAGTATCTGTCGACAAAACCCTGTAGTCTAGACGTACCATATGATAATAGAGAAAATACTAGCTATGTTAATTTCTTAATATACAAGAGAAAAGCATTTCCAATAAAATATACTATCTTAATGTCATTGACGTAGTTCATTCATCATACCTTTTACTATATTTTCCCCGGGCAATGCCAGGTATTTCTGCTAGTTCTAAATAAAACTAACTATTTCTATTGAGACACCATGTTAAAATCTCTGCATCTGTTTTCAGGCCCGATAAGCCATATCTTCAGAGATGCATATGTAATTCTCCTTCCACTAAGTTAGGAAATTACAAAAAAAACATAACTGGATACACTAAGAATTCCTTTTAAAGTTGCAAATCCCTCCTTTAGCAACATATTGAACAACTAGTAATTTCAATTTTCAAACAAAGAATTAAGACCATACCATGAATACATCTTTGGCAGTTAGTGATAAATACTGTGTTCTACTGAAGAGACTCTTAAGATACATTTATACATACAGCTGTGTGCAAGGCACAGGCACTACATTCCCAGATAGCACAGATATAAACAGCAACATAGATGATGAGGCACAGCTTAGGCAAGTAGCGTGCCCTACAAGCCTGAACCCTTAGGGCATATGTCCTACACAGGCTGTTCACATGTCCGAGCAGTGCCACTCAGTGCAGTAAATCTTAATTAGCTTTAATATCAAGTGTGAATACACATTAGGGATGTTAAGGCTAGTCACACCTCCCCCCCATTTCTGCCTCTATCAGATAAAGGTACACAGGAGGCCGGGGGGGCGGGGTGGGGAGAGGGAAGAGACCTAGGCTACATGCCGCTTTGAAATGGCTGCAGCCATTTCAACGGGGCAGCGCTGCCCTATCGACGCAAAAAAATGCATCGACTACTTGATTAGTCAGTTACACGATACTTAACATCCTTAATACACATCCTTCAGGTTTTGTTACACCATCAAGAAAAACATGTTTGGGAATGTACCCTTAACCTTGAGTCTGATGCTGTGTGTCACCTGGGTACATATTCTCCAAGAAAATAATCTAACCTAAATACAGTATGTTCTCTCAAGGTGGGCTGCATTTCTTTTGAAGGAAAGGAGGTTGGATCTGAGGCTTTTGTCACCCAGCAGAACTCTATTGTATTTTGTGGCTGCAGAAGAATTTTGCAAGAGCGAGGCAAGATTTACCAACTCCCAAAGAAAGCATTCTGTTAGTAAGCCATTTTCTCTTCATTAACTTTGAAGTGTTTTTTGAGAGAGACATTTGATACCAATTTTGCCAACTGTTCTCCATACTATTGCAATAATTGCTAGTCAGATTGTCATCAACTCATTTTAATTTACAGTGTGAGGTCATTTGAGTGTAACCATAAGTTGTCAGCAGTATTTAATACAACTCCCAAAGATTTCCTTTAACTAGTTATGTTTACCCATAGCAAGAACAAGTGTTACTACTTACAAGCTTCCAGGGTCCTAGGCTTCTGTCCCCATCCTAGAAGCTTCACACCCAGTCCCCCATACTCCTCTCATATCCCACTTCCTCCAACAATGCCAACCCGTTGGACCCAGTCCCCATCCCAGCCTAGAGCCTTCTGCTGACCTAAAATCCCTCATTTTCCAGCCTCACCCTCTTCTGCACTGCATCCCCCTGATCCAGACTGGTGAAATAAGTGAGAGAGAGGGGGTGAGGGAAAGCCAGGGTGCTCAGTTTTCTGCAATTAGAAAGTTGGCAACCCTAAGTAAAAGTTAGTTACTTTTTAAAAGTATGATCAATATATTTTTAGAGTGGAATTACATTTTTTAAAAGTTAGAATTGTGACTTTTTTTTAAGATAATGACTGCCAACTGCTTGAAGAAAATGTATTCTCTTTCTCTATAAAAGATCAATCCACAGTGGTGATCTGCAAATAATTTTGTACATTTACCAGAAATGTAGTTTACGATACAAATCTTACTTGCCTCCTTACTTAATGCAATATAAAGTATCAAAAGGTAACCAGAAGGCAGCAGAAATATTCAAAAAAGGATTTTATTTTGTTTTTATTTAATACTCAAGTATCTACTGAATGATTCAGTACCTCAAAGAAGCTTAACCTCAAGCTTAACACACTCCATTCTATCTTGCTTATGATTAATATCTAAGTATTAGAGATAGGAAAGTGTAACCTGTGTAGCCTGGGCTCATTGGTTAACTCTCACGGTTACACACAGGCTCCTGGTATGCATGGGGAGCGAGCATGAAAGCCAGCTCCACGTGCACACCAGCTCCTTGGGAGCTGCCTCTTCCCCCGCATATAACATCCCTAATACCCTTTTCATTTTAACCCAGTCTTTCAAATTTACTGATCAAGCTTAAACCACTTTATGATAACATCTATTTCTTGTAGACATTCAACTTTAGAAGTGTCCAAGCTTGTCCTCTGCGTTGAGGAGGCTTTGTAGCATGCAGCTGACAAAAAGTGGCTCTCCTACGGTTGGCTATGCCATATTTAAGATCATCCCAGTATAGCACAAGACTATCTAGGGGCACAGACATGGTTTAAGGCTTCCCATTCCCACCACAGCCCAATGTAGATAATTCAAGTTAAAAAGTGAATCTGCAGACGTTCTAGTTTAAAACCAGGGAAATTCCCTAACACAGCCAGCACAGATAGCCATTTTTGCAGTCGTCCTGAACTGCACTGTACACTCCTTGGAAACAGCTGAATATTAAATGTACAAATTTATGTGGAAATTCAGTTTGTTGGCTAGAGAATACCAGACTTTCTAATACACAAAAATTTGTTGGCTAGAGAATACCAGACTTTCTAATATACAAAAAAATCAAAGAGTTCTTCAGTATTAAAATTCCTTCCACACACTCCAAATAGAAATTTTATTCTGGGATCTCTGAAAAGTAAGGGTTACTTACACAAACACTATGTCCCCTCTCTTTGAATATGCTGGAATAGCACTGGCAATTGTGGCAAATCCGTATGAGTATATAATAGATTCCTCTGTCCTCATGAATTTTGCTAGTCGATCTTCCAATTCCAAGTGTACGTCTGAGGAAAAAAGTTTAAAATTCATACAGTTAAAATTGTTTTGCTTTTGTTGCAGAATGGTTTAGCCGTCTGTACTCAAATGTGACGCAGCCACCTACTGGAACAGGAATAGCTAAAGAGTAACAGTTTCACAATAAAATGAACACTAAACATTAAAGCTGGTGAATCCATTCTTGATGAGTACTGATTGGTGTCTGTCAAATCCGAGCATCTGAAGTGCTAATATTTGTCAAACCATATAAGAACAGCCATACTGGGTCAGACCAATGGTCCATGCAGCCCAGTAGCCTGTCTGCCGACAGCAGCCAATACCAGATTTACTAGAGGGAGGGAACACAACAGGTAACCCTCATGTGATGCCTCCCATCACCCAGCTCTGGAGAAAGAGAGGCTTGGGACACCATTCCCACCCATCCTGGCCATACAAGATATCGACATATTCTAAAGAGTGACATGTTCGAAGAACCAGTGTGCTTGTGTACTCAGAATAGCAATGAGAATTTCCTTACACTTAGAGTGTAAGCACCCTGGTGTAAGGATTACTTTGTTTGTATGGCATCTAATGCAATGAGACCTTGGTTCATGACTGAGGTTCCTAGCTACTATTGCAGTGCCAACAGTAACAAAACAATGCAATTTCCAGCAAGTAACTAAGTCCTGGCTGGCTAAACTTTTGCCCATCCAGATTCAGAAAAATCAGCACTAATAAAAGAAGCATGGGCAGGGTCTGTTATATGGCAATTAACACTTCAAGGAGAGGCTACATGAGATACAGCATTCAAAAAGCCATACTCCCTCTTGGGATCTCATCAGCTGAAGCGTGCAAGGTATGGGAAAAAGCTACAGCTTTCAGTGTCCTGCTATGAATGGGTTAGGGCAGTGTTCTGAACTAGGAGTTGAGGGCCCCTTGTGGGACATGAGCAGGTTTCAGGGGCCCACCAAGCACAGTGGCATTAGACCTGTTGGGCCCTGGGACAGAGTGTAAAAAACCCAGTGTATGGGGCTTAAGTGGAGGGCCATGAGCCCTGCAACCCAGGGCTGAAGCATAAATAACTCCTGTGGTGTGGGACCCTTGACAATTGCCCTGTTTGCTACTCCAATACCAGTGCTGCCTTTTATATGCAGAAAAACAGTTGTGGCACACATGAGCTATGGTGTTTTTATAGCATGTTGATGGGAGCCTCAAAGACAAAGAAAGCTTTCTAGGGAGATGCACATGGATGGCCTAAGCCTTTCAATAAAAGTTTCTGAAATCTCCCACTTTGCATCTATCTGGGGAATGAAGGAGTGAAGAGGTTATCTACTCTGTAGGTTTCCCGAGTGTGATAGATACAATTACACTCAGTGAAGGGACTCTACACACAGAAAATGTTCCCAGCAACCAGGCAGTGAATACAATCAGTTTGTCATTAAAAACGTTATACTTGGCAACCATGATAAATTACAAAAGTATTGTCAACATCCTGTAAGACTCCAAACACATAAGAACCAGGGTCAGCTTAACATGGGTACTGTGGCTAGTGCAATGAATGAGAAATCTGTAGCAAATCCCAAGTATATGTAGCACCAAACAAAATAACTTTATATAATAAACAGAATATGACAACACAAAAGAGCAAGACCATTCACGATCCTGAAAAGCTCAAGTCCAAAGAAAAGCAGGAACTTAGCTTGAACTCAGCCAGAAAGTTGAAAGCCTTCAGATGAAGCAGAAATTGAACAGTTGCTGACTTCTCAATCACCTTGCCTAGGTCTGAGATTGGGTGATGTTGTCAAGGGACATCACAGGCAAGCATTAAATAGTGAAGGGATATCACAGATCAATACCACTTTCTTTGAGATACTAGGATAGTCAGAGTCCCAAAGAACCCAGAAGATTAGACAATGACCAACTCATATGCAAAATATGCAGGTAGAAGCCTATGATTCTCATAAAGAGGGCTAGACACACCAGACTGGACTCATTCACAAAAGACCTCAACTTATCACAATCCATTTGTAGAAGTTACTCAGGTGAAAGACTGAAACAGAGGCTTAACTAAGAGTTAGTCTTAGCCTCAGCCATAAACAATGCAAAGAATAGGGGACTCAGAGCTCACCTGCATAAATTCCACTTACAAGATATTTCCTCAGCTATCTTCAAGAGTCTTAAGCAAGTTTGCTCAAGTCCCAGGGCACAAGACTGCCAGTGTATGGTGCTCACTAGTAACTATTATTAGCTGGCCATTACCTTGATCGGAAAGGCACATCAAATATTTTGTGACATCATTGAACAAAGTCTGCAGGATTAAAAGATTGCAATAAAACAATCTTCTTCTAGCAGATATGAAACATTGATCAAATTTAAGCACAAAATTATTGCCTGACCACTCAATCAGGCTGACCTAACTAAACGAAGTACTTGGATAGCCTTCTGGAGAAGTCAAAATGTATGGTTGGTGCCAAGGGAGTGCTCTGCAACAACCTGGATAAAAAACATGCAGTCCATGACTCACTCACAGGGGAGTGCCATGAAAGCTCAAAAGATAAGCCAAAATTTTAAGCTTGTAACAATCCTGCCTTTTGCATCTGCGCAGTGGAGACAGAAGAGGAAGATTAAATGCTATCATTCTGTAATGAAATATTAGACAGGCTAGTTCACAACTAAGCTGATTGTTAATATGAAATGTTTTGTATATAGTTTTTGGTGGTAGTGGAGGGGAAGACTTCTAATTGACAGTTTTAAGGTTTCTTGCACAGGATATTTCACTCTGAACACAGTATTATACATATAAGACAAGTTTCTTCATTAGAATTTTAATATACACATAAGTCACACTGCCCTCTTGTGGTCTATTTAGCATTTAATGTTGGAATTTTAACTGCATTTCTCCCTCAACCATTTTAAACATGCCTCTCAGTATGGCAAATTCCACAGCATTGTTTATACATTTTGAAACAAAGACACTTCTAAAAAGAGTATACTAAATTTACTTGGCAAGTAACTTCTATATAACCTTGCTGTTACTGACAGTATGTATTAGAAGAGTTTTACTTAGATAGGTCTCAGTCTTGACTGGTTTGGGTCTATTCCCTCTTTCCCAACCCATTATCACAGGGGTGAGGAACCTAAGGCCTAGGTCATACCTAGATCCGTCCCTGGAGGCTCAGGGTTTCCCCAAAGCATTGGTGAGCCCCAGTGATGCTCCAGCCCTCTGCCATACCCCACAGGGCTGGAGCATACAAAAGTCTACTAGTCTCGGTCCCCCAAGGCTCTGGTGTGTGAGGGGATGTCTTCTCAGTTGGGGGCTGCCTCGTGATGTTCCTCCACTCTTCTCACGTGTGTGGGGCCCCTAATTCTTTTTTTGTGGGTCAGTGGCTCCCAACCCAAAAAAGGTTCCCCACCCCATGTTATCATTTAAATGTATTTATTTATGCACCTTTGTATAATGCCCTGAAGTCAATAGGTCAAATTCAGCATTAACACTTGGCTAACTGACCCAGGTAAGATAGACTATGTGAGAAGCGCCTTTTGTTTAAGCAATGATAAACGTCACAGATAATTAGCAACCATACCAAAAAGAGTCTGTTGTACACTTTGTTCCCTGGACTGAGAAACCACCGACAGCGTACAGAGTAAGTATTTTGGAAATGTTTGCCCTAACAAATATGAAAAATCTTTAAAGATAATTTAAAGCATGTCGACAGAAAGCAAAGTTATACTTACCAAAAGTGCCATAAAACCCTCTAGGTCCACAGGTACCAACTCCATATTTCTTCAGAGATGCCTGGGCTGCATTCTTTAATGAAAACATTACATGAGAAACAATATTTAACTTGTTTCTATATAGTTATACACTCTGTATAAGTCACATTATACAGAACAATACCACCAATTTTATATAGCCACAAAATCAAATACAATTAAAATGTGAAATCAGTTGCCAATAAAATAAGTATTTTAATCAGGCATTTAAGCTTAGTTTATTGTAGCACACACACTACATTGAATGAAAGAACACCTAAGAAGGTACACGCTGGACCTCCCATATTTGGCACCGTCAGGACCTGACCAGTTCCGAACAAGGAGAGGTCTCTCTCAACACAATCCATGCTGTCCTGCTGCCTTCAGCTAGAGCTCCAGCCTAACTCCACTGCACAGCCGTGGACCCCCAGGCTAGAGCCCTGTGGTTGCCACAAGGGCCAGAGCTCCACAGCTACTGCCACAATCCCTGAGCTCCACTACTGGGCTGGAGTCCCACAGCCGGCCCCCCAAGCTCTGCAGCTGGGGCCAGAGCTTAGCAGATCCCACTGCTGGCTCCTTGCTACTGTCCAGCTGCAGGAGCTGGAATGCTCTGCTGCTCCTCCTCTCCCCCACAACCGATGCAGGGTTCCCAGCGGAGTTGCCGGCCTCCCCTGCCACACAGCCCGATTTCCCTATACTTGGAGTCTGTGGTCCAGGAACATCTGTGGTCCAGGAACATCTGTAATGTGCTGCACCAGAGAGCCCTGATTAAGGGAGGTACAACCTATACTAATATTACTTTAAAAACTGAGCAACTGTACATGATCCTTTACCTACTGAAATATTAACCATATCAGTAACACTGTCTAGCTAAATGGAACATGATTATATTCTAACAACCTCAGAAGTGTATTGTTTACTTTGTCCTTTATTTCCTTCACATAAAGAAGCGAAGGGAAAGATTTACGTAAGTTAGACCTACAATTGTGTGTCAGTAAAATTCAGCAAAATTCATGGAACAATCATAGTAAAAATGTACAAAGCTGGGGTGTGGTCAAGTGTAAGCCATCCAGCCAGACTCTCACTACCCAAGAATGAAGCCTCAGAAGTCACAGTCATCTGCTGAAGTTATGGAATCTGTGACCAAATTGTATCCTTACTTATAATACACTAACTAAAATGATGAATATACTGACATTTAAGTGCTGATTAAGATTTTCCTATTTAATTTCACACTGCCAATCTACACTGGAAGTTAGAGGCACAACAGAAATTACTGCAATACATTTATTTCATGTTCTAACAAGACTACACTCACGTGGAAACATCTCGCATAAAATCACTTAATACGTACATGTCTATAAATAAGGGCTAAGTTTTAAATTTTGGTAACTTTCATGAGTGTGACCTTGAGCAAGTCACATCACGTCTGGTTACGTTTTTTTTTATTTGTAAAGAAAGGATCTTTACAAACCTCAGGGAAGACAAGAATCAGAGGGGTAGCTGTGTTAGTCTATAAGGTGCCGCAGGACTTCTCGTTTATGCAGATTCAGACTAGCATTTATTGGAGCATAAGCTTTCGTGGGCAAAGACCCACTTTGTCAGATGCAAGATCTTGCATCTGACAAAGTGGGTCTTTGCCCACGAAAGCTTATGCTCCAATAAATGCTAGTCTGAATCTGCATAAACGAGAAGTCCTGCGGCACCTTATAGACTAACACAGCTACCCCTCTGATTCTTGTCTTCCCTGAGGTTTGTAAAGATCCTTTCTTTACAAATAAAAAAAAACGTAACCAGACGTGATGTGACTTGCTCAAGGTCACATAGTAAGTCTTCAGCAGAACCAGGCTTAGGACGTGATGTGAATGCACTTGGGAAAAGACTAGTACTATGCTAAGTGTTTGAGATGGTCACATACTTTGAACCCTATAAAAACCCCTGCCTATGAGATGTTGGGGGTCGGCTCTGATCTGAACATTGAGTTCCTTAGCCGTACCTTGGTTGCAACCAATAAACTTGAGTTGGACCCAGCCTGAAAGTGTGACTCTCTTCTTGGGGTAAATCAGACTAGCCTCCAAGGGGACGAAACCTTGCAATTTATGCAACAAATGCAATAGCAATTGTAAAAAAATCCCCTTTTATAGTGCAAATAGGTAGTTATATAACCCACTTACTTTCACTCTTTCGTTATCCAGAAGTCCAAGAAAGTTAAATGATGCAAAATTTATACATTCTTTGCCATTCACGATTATTTTATGACTTGGGGGGCTAAAAAAATAAAAACAGCAGTGTAAATTAAATATTTGTCACTTTAATGGATAAACAACTACACTGACTTTTAAAATATAGTAAGATATTCTGTAAAACATGTTGACTTTTTGCCCCCATTCTGCCATGTTTTCAAAGTCAAGGTCTACATTACCACTTATGACAGCAAAAAAAGTCACTCAGAGGCGCAACAAAAAAAACTGAGGCACAAGTTTTGTCTGAATAAGTGATAACAAGCACAGCACTACACCAGCAGAAGAGCTTGTCTCTCATCAACACAGCTACTGCAGTTAGTTAGGAGTGTATTAATTATGTTGATGGGAGACAGCTCTCCTATCAGCAGAGTGGCTACACAAGAGATCTTTGAGTGGCACAGTTGCCTCAATATAGTTATGCTGCTGGAAGAGCTCTAAGGCAAACATAGCCTAAACACAACAAACACATATACATCAATCAAATTCCAATTTGTATAATTACACGTTGCGTAAGATCGCCTGCCCCTTAAACTAAATGCAGTATTCTCCAAAGTTCTGTTCTGAACAGGTTTTAAAAAACTGATGTATTTAAGTAACGGATAAAACATCTCCACTGTATAACCTGCATTTGGGATCCTTTGAAATAAGCAATACTATGTACACAAACGCTAAGAGTAGGATTTAAAAGTTTTCCTTGCACTTTGATAACAGTTTAATAAAAAAATAGTTCTGTCATTAACCAAGTTCACCTTTGCAAACACATGGAAAAAAGTATAAAAATAAAAAGGCACCAAATTTATGCAGACAGACATTCAACACTAGATGCTTTAGAATACTTGGGAAATCTGACATGCTAGATTTCATTGTGTTTAAGAACTTCATTCATAGAAGTTACAGAAACAGTTTTTGCAGGAGTCAGCCAGCCAGCCAGCCAAAGAACCAGAATTTGGAAATAAATTGAAACAAAACACAAAACACACAACCTCCCCCCCACCACCAAGCAGCAAAGACAAAAACAGTTTTGAGATGAAAATGTATGCTCCGGCCCCACTCCCAGGGAGCCCTCTGCCACCCTGCACTACTGCCACTATCAGATGCAACAGTGTGGGGTGGCAGGTGGGAGCTGGTCTGCATGGGGAGCCAGTTTGAAAAACTAGCTCCCACCTGCCCCCCCACACACAAGGAGGAGGGGAGCCGAGGGAAGGGGAGTGAAACTCCCCATAGACGGGGCTGCTGCTGCCACGAAGCAGCCTCTTCCCACCGCAGTAGAGGCAGCTCCACGGGATACAGGGCAACCTCTGTCTGCAGGAAGCTTGGACCTCCCCCACACCATAAAGGAGCCAGTTTGAAAAACTAGCTCCCACCTGCCCCCCCACACACAAGGAGGAGGGGAGCCGAGGGAAGGGGAGTGAAACTCCCCATAGACGGGGCTGCTGCTGCCACGAAGCAGCCTCTTCCCACCGCAGTAGAGGCAGCTCCACGGGATACAGGGCAACCTCTGTCTGCAGGAAGCTTGGACCTCCCCCACACCATAAATAGAGGTTGCTTCGTGGCATCCCCCCCCCCCCCCCAAACCCGCCCAGGGAGCTGGCACATGAGAGAAGCCTACTTGAAAGCCAGCTCCCCACGCATAGGGGCTCCAGCCTGCCCCCCTCACCTTCTGTGCTGCTGCCTATCAGAAGCAGCAGTGTGGGGGTGAGGACTGGCAGAGCCACAATTACATTTAGCACCCCCCCCTTTTTTTTTAAATCAGAGCTGTTTCCTTGTTGACAGGGCAGTGGCACATTGCCAAGCAAGCACATGAAAATATTCACTGTATAACGTTCTTATTTCTTGGCGTCAATGATTAAGATTACTTGTGTGGTTAACATTCATGATAAATGCCTGGTTGAGATACTTTTTTCCTTTTCTGTTGGTGTATAAAAAACACAAGTGTATCATTCCTTCAGTAGTGTGAAGTACAATCTAGAAGTATACTTATGTTTGAAATGCATCTGTGTTGCAACATGTATGGGCAATACCGTGATTCATGATTACTCCGAGAATTTCTGTCTACACGATGCATTCGATCATAGCAAGGTGCCACTAACTGGCATGTACTAAAAATTAGCTAATATATACTGGTGTAATCCCATTTCCAACTTCTAGATAAACTCATAAGATGTTACAGCCAAGATTTCAAATGACTCCACTTTGAGATTCCAATTTGAGATAGATACCTTAACGTAGCCTAAGTTTAAAAAAAAGTGCCAAGTACCAATCCTCTCAAAAATCAAGTCCCTCAACTTGGAAATCCAAAAATCATAGCTGCTTTTGCAGACTTAGGCCTATACCTTTATAAAACTTGACAACTAATAATCAAAAATGAAGCCAACAGGGAAGCCAACAGGAAAGAACACCAAATAAGATACCAAAATGAAGTCCAATACTTTACCATAAATTATTAAAAAGAAAATGAGATTCTTATACTGGTTGAACCTCAGTAAACCAGCACTCTGATCCAGCAACATCAGTGGTCCAGCACAACCACGGTCATTCCAGGACCAGAGAAGTGTAGTACTGGTGCTTAGGAGCCCTGCAGATTGGCAGAGTTGCGGGCTACCGATCCCTAAAGCTGAGAAGCCAAGCATGCCCCAGTGGAGCTGCCCAGTGGGGTTGGGACCCCAGCGCACCATAACAGGGCTCCTCAGCAAGTCCCAGCAGGGCTATTCAGTGGGGCAAGAGCCTGGTGCACTGTGAACTGAGTTGCCTGGCAGGCAGGCAAGAGAGTCAGGGACCAGCAGTGCAGTGGGGGCAGGCAAGGGGGTCAGGCGCCAGCAGGACAGCGGGGGTGGTAGCAGGGGGGCCAGATATGACCTCCCCATATCCAGCAAAATTCTTCATCTGGGACCAGTTGGGTCCTGAGGGTGCTGGGACCAAGGAGGTCCAACCTGTATGACTGAATCACCTCAGAAGTTAGTGTCAAAAAAAGAGAATGAATTTTGATAGAAGGCTTTAGCATCAGTGACAAATACAGTCCTGTATTCCTAACATGCAACTCGCTCAAAGAAAATTAAAATCTTTGTATGTTTAAAAACAGGGGACTTAAGAGATTTATATTGAATTTGAACAAAATACTTGTGCTAAATTTACCCTGAAACAATATTGTAGTTGAGAGCTGGATGATCTTTTGATACAGGAGGAACAAGAGGTTCTGGTTGCCACTCTTCAATCAATTCTTCTTTTTCCTGAGATGAACAGGAGACAGAATGCCCAACATTTAGTATCTTTCAAATATGACTTTCATTATACAGGTCTCACCTCCCAAAACCAGAATTTTATTGTCCTGCAACATCCATGATCAGGCATCAGAGAACCCAGTTTGCCTAGTGGCAGTAGGGAAATCCAGGAGGCACTGGGCTGAAGCAACGGGCTGGCCCAGTGGGCGGCAGACCCCAGCAGCCTGCAACAGTAGGGCTGGAGCCAGCAGCAGCTCCCAGGAGCATCCGACAGCTGGCAGCACTGAGACTGGTTTGGGGCAGCCCCCAGCAGCACAGGATTGGGCCGGCACCAGCCCATGGTAGTGCAGGGTTGCAGCTAGAGCCTTGGGCAGCCTACGAAAGCGGGGCTAGAGTCTGTGGACTACCATGGATTAGGAGCCCAAACCTGCAGCAGCAAGTCTGAAGCTGGCAGCACAGGGCCAGAGCCCACAGACTGCTGCAGGGCTGGGACCAAAATCTGAGCATTTGGCAACCATACCAGGGCCAGAGCCAGCCCCCGACAGCATGGAGCCAGAGCCTGCAGTGGTGCAGGCTGCTGTAGCATGACAGGCAGTTTGGCCAGGGCAGCAGGGCCAGCAACCCAGCAGGCAGCCCAGCAGGGGCTGGAGGTAGCCCTCTCCCTCCTCACCCCCTCCACTCTCTGGCCCCCAGAGCTAGTAGAGTCAGCAGCTGGGGGCTGTGTCAGGGAACCTTCTCTAGTCTGGCAAATTCACTGGTTTGGGACTGGTCAGGTCCTGAGTGTGCCAGATAAGACGTGTCCAGCCTGTACCACAGTCTAAAGAAGCAGATAGGGTTATTTTGGCTAGAACTATACCTGTCTCTAGTACTGTGATGTGGCACCCTTCCAAGTCAATGTGGAGCTACTACCCTAGTATACTATGCAACGGGGCTCTGCACCGCTCATAGTAGGGATGTGAATGTTTAACTGGTTAACTGCCCCCCCCCATTAATTGGTTAACCAATTAATATGATTTTAGATCCCTAGCTCAAGGTAACTTTTAAATAATAAAGAGAGATCCTGACCAGATTTTTCATTACAGATCTCATGGTATGTTTCTTAAGTTAAGAAATGTTGACCCAGTGTTAAAATTTTGACAAGGACTTAGGCAATTTCTACTTACCTTACCAACAAAAAAAAAAAAAACCCACACCACACACCACTCATTTATTTTTGGCATTTCTCACTTCCTGGTCTCAACCATTCTACAGCACTATTTAAATAAATATTTGTTGCATTAGAATGAAAAGTGAAGTGACAACAGGAGCTACAATTACTAGTCAATTTATCAGTCTGCACATTGGGTAACACCACCTAGCATAGCATGTCATAACTACTAATCCTCATACCACATGCAAGGTAAGCAAGCGTTCCTGTCCATTTTTCAAATGAAGTAACAGAGGTTGTCATTTGCCCAAGGAAACACAGTGAATCAGTGTCAGAGCTAGCATTAGACTTCAGGTTTTTAGTTCCACTTAATCCCACCAGTTCTAAAGCAGTAGCCACTATAGCAAACTAGCCACACACAACCGGTTAAATTGACACATGAGGCTAGTGGTTAGTTGTAGGACACCACAGACTTAGCCTTCTGTTCTCCAACCCCTGAACCACATTGCCACTAAATAGGGCAAAGATACAAGCATTAGAAAGTAGGGATGGACAACCAAGAAACAGAAAAAAAAATTACTGATGTTTAATTCTGACACATGCGTGTTTAGTCCACCTGAACTCAATGGGACTATTTCTGTTTGGAGTGGAGTTAAGCAGGAGTACAACTGTTTGCAGGAATGAGCTTCAAAGTTTATACATCTGTGGAGTAAAATTATGTTTAAACAGTTGTCAGTCTTCTCAGATTTGTTAACCATTTCTAGACTGAGGATTTAGCTATTAACTTCCAAGGTAGCATAATTCAACATGAATTTCTCCACTAACTTTTGTTGTTGATTTTTGAACCTACCTGAAGTATCCATTGTTAAACCAAGTCTGTTCATAAAGAAGTCCTGATGCCAAGTTCATCCCTCTCAAAATTTAAAAGTTAGTCTAATGCCTTCAAATTTGTGCTTTGTATCTTCCAAAAAATTAAGTTACCCTCTAACTGGTGTAAATTATTTATGATTTAATCATTTTTCCTGGACCAAACAAAAACATATAGAGCTCTTTCACATTGTAGTGACTTCAAAAAACGGAGTACCTCCCTGGTCTAGTGGCACCCTTGGGACTTGATCAGTCTCAAACAAGGAAATTGGTCAGACTAGGGGGAGGTCCCCTGCCATAGCTCCCCATCCCCGCCACTGGCTCCCCTGTCAGTCAGCCCCCAGCCAGAGCTGCTGGACACCAGCCCACTGACACTGGGCTTCCAGCCCAGCAGTTTCGGGTCCACGGACAGATGTTGCCGAACCAGAGAGTCCCAGTTTAGGGGAGATACAATCTGTAGAAATATGGTCTTATCACAAGGGTTTCAAATTCTGAAGGTCATCATGCTCTGAGTGTCACAATATTTAGTATTATATAAATTGTTGCTTTAAGAAAAAAATCTGCATATTGGGAAGAATGTTTGTAGTAACATACCTTAGGTGTGAGGTCAGATCGTTCTTGAAGTTTGTAAGTTTTAGAGAAAAGAAGTCTGATTATCCACAGTATTAGAATTCCTTCCAAAATAAGATGGTAAGCAGGAGCCTAGAAGTTAAAAAAAAAGAAAAAAAAAGCACATACAGGATTCAATTATAATTAGCAGGTTTTTATTTCCATTATTTAGGTTTCTGAATGTAATCTAGTTGATGCAAGGCAACTTTAACTTTTCATACTTTTTTTTAAAAAGTAAAGGAGAAGAGATTGATTGCTTTGCAGATCATGGCTCCTTGACATTAAACTGAAAAAGGATGGTCTTGAATTGGTGTTAGTGGAAGACGTAATAAGCTGCCCTTAAAGTTGCGATATAAAGCAGTTTTAGTTCTAGAAAGGTGTATGAGAGGATTAGAGAGTACAAGTTGAACACCTCTTATCTGGAACCCAGGGAATTTGCTTAACCAGAGAAGGTTCCCTGCCATAGTCCCCAGCCGGACTCTGCCAGCTCGGGGGAGGGGGACTAGTGCCAGCCTTTGCCAGTCTGCCTGTTGGGTTGCTAGCCTAGACTGCCTGCCGGACTCCAGCAGCCTGCACTGCCGTAGGCTGCCACAGGCCTTGTACACTACAAATTCTAGTTTAAAACAGCCACTGGATTATTTTATTGCTAATAAGGCCTTGTTACACTATGATCAGGAGAAGAGAATCAGATTTTTTTTAAAGCTAGACAATTAAGGATCAGCTTTGCAAGCAGACCCTTCCAAGTGAAACGTGTTACACAGTGTGCATCACTGGCAACGTATCTTTCCACTTGTAATCTACTGGGCTACGTCTACACTGGCATGAATTTCCGGAAATGCTTAAAATGGAACAGTTTTCCGTTATAAGTATTTCCGGAAAAAGAGCGTCTACATTGGCAGGATGCTTTTCCGGAAAAAGCTCTTTTTCCGGAAAAGCGTCCGTGGCCAATGTAGACACGTTTTTCCGGAAAAAAGCCCCGATCGTCATTTTCGTGATCGGGGCTTTTTTGCGGAAAAGAGTACTGTGCTGTCTACACTGGCCCTTTTCCAAACAGTTTTCCGGAAAAAGGACTTTTGCCCGAGCGGGAGCAGCATAGTTTTTCCGGAAAAGCAGCTGATTTCTTACAGTAGATCATCACTGCTTTTCCGGAAATTCAAGGGGCCACTGTAGACAGCTCGCAGCTTATTCCAGAAAAGCGGCTGCTTTTCTGGAATAAGTGGCCCAGTGTAGACACAGCCCTGGTGTTTAAGAACCATGTTAAATGACCAAGATGTAGGAACAGAGAGAGACCAACCAAAAAATGCCATCAATGTCAGAGTTGCTGCTGCATCACTGTTTGATCTACTAGGTAACTCAAATAAGACTCCATACTGGAAGTAGGTCACCCCCTAAATTGTGTGGGGGATGGAAGAGATCAGAGCAACACCTTTTCCTATGAAGCAGCAACCAAGACATCAGGATCTACAAGACAGAAATGCCTGTTTTAAAAACTCTGAAATAAGTATCCATTTTTTCCATTAGCATAAACGACAACAAATCCATCTGGAGAGAAAAAAATATTCAGAGTATGAATAAATAAATCTTTGCCTTTCAATAATAGTACCAACATGTAAACTAAGTGTGGAGGTAATAAGACAAGAGACTTACTAAAACAGTAGATTTCTGCCTCAAAAAATAAATGTGGTAGAAATAGTGGACACCAAAACATAACATAGTATGTAACAGCAGAAATAAGTCACGATTTGCAGCAAGCCATCTCCAAGTCAGAACTGGTCAATAATACTGATGAGAATTTATACCATGTGCTAAAGGTGAATGTAAAATCTGACCATAGATGGATACTAGATTTACCTCGAGACACAACTGTCACTATGCTTTATCTTTGACATGACAAACTATGCATAGTTTGTCAATATAGGAATATAGCAAACGCTATTCCAGATCAGACCCCACCTACATCTACTCCAGCATCCAGTCTCTGATTGGGATGTTAAATATCAGTTAATTGAATAGTTGAGTAACTTCATGAATTCTTATCGGTTAGTTGACTATTCTATAGTCCCTAGGGGTGGGGCCAGCAGCCAGTATATTCCAGCCTCACTATTCTATAGCTGCCTTCCACTCTGTGCTGCTGCCTCTGTATCCTATGGTAGCAAGTTCCACAGTCAAATGACAGGTCATATAAAAAATAGGGATGTAAAAATAATAAAAATATTGTTACTGATTAAAGGGGGTGAAGGTGGGAGGGGCCACTCTAGCCCAGCTGCAGCATGGCCCTCTCCTCTAGGCAGCCCCTGCACCTGGAAGGCCAGAGTGCCCCATAGGCAGGGACTACCACGGCATCCCAGCAGGAGCAGACCCTACCTGCAGGGCAACTGCACAAGCCATGGACAGAGCTTGGTATGGCCAGGACACCAATACAGCTCCCTGCTTATGGGGTGCCCTGGCCTGCTACAAGCAGGTGCTGTACCAGCCCAGCTGGAGAGGCAGCCTCTACCACTTAACCAACTAAACATGCATATTGCTAACCAACTAAACATGCATATTGCTAATAAGACAAGAAGTCCTTTTATTAGTTGCAAATTTCTTGCTTTTTAATTTGGCTGAATGTCACCTTGTACTTGGATCAGGGCACTCCTGATCTATTGTTAGTGTACCTCCAAGCCACTACTCATTCAATTTGTTCTTCTCTGAGCCCTGCTTACATCTCCAAGAAGTGAGCCAGGGCACTGATCGCCAGCTATCGCACCCTTAGACTGGTTCACTGCCCAATTCCCTGTGGGCAAAGCAATGGATTTCAGGAAGGCAGATTTTGGTAAGCTCAGAGAGCTGGTAGAGCCATGAGAAGCAAGACTAAAGGGAAAAACAACTGACAAGAGTTGCCAGTTTTTCAAAGGGACATTATTAAGGGCCCAAAAACAAGCTATTCCGCTGCATAGGAAAGACAGGAAGTACGGCAAAAGGTCACCTTGACTTAACCAGGAGATTTTGCATGATCTAAAAATAAAAAAGGAGTCAGAGTGGAAACTAGGACAAATTACAAAGGATGAATATAAACAATGCAGGTATGCAGGGAAAAGATTAGAAAAGCAAAGATACAAAACAAGCTCTAACTACAGACAAAGAGAAACAAGACAAGATACTATAAATATATTGGAAGCAAGAGGAAGACCAAGGACAGGGTAGTCCCACTGCTCAGTGAGGAGGGAGAAACAGTAACAAGAAACTTGGAAATAGAAGAGGTTATAAATATATTGGAAGCAAGAGGAAGACCAAGGACAGGGTAGTCCCACTGCTCAGTGAGGAGGGAGAAACAGTAACAAGAAACTTGGAAATGGAAGAGGTTAATTACTTCTTTGTTTCGGCACCTATGGGAATGCTGCCGAGACACATGGGGCAGCCAGGGAGAAAGCACAAATGTGAGCCATGGAGGCGGCACTGAGGGCTGATGGGAGAGGAGCATTGTTAAAAATCACCTAGAAAAGTGAGATGTCTGCAAGTCCCCAGGGCCTGATGAAATGCACCTAGAATACCCGGAGCTGATAGCTAAAGGCTCGTGTACCTCCTCTATCAACTTCGAAAATCATGGAAGACAGGAGAAATTCCAGAAGGCTGGAAAAGGGCAAATATAGTGCCCATCTATAAAAAGAGAAGAACAGACCAGGAAACTACAGATCAGTCAGTTAAATTTCTGTGCCAGGAAAGATAATGGAGTAAGTTACTAAGGAATTTATCTGCAAATACCTGGAAGATAATAAGGTGATAGGGAACAACCAGCATGGATTTATAAAAAACGAATCATTTCAAACCAATCTGATAGCTTTCTTTGACAGGATAAGAAGTCTTGTGGATAAGGGAGAAGCAGTGGATATGGTATACCTAGACTCTAGTAAGGCACTTGATACAGTCTCACATGATATTCTTATCAATAGGGCTCGCTGAACCACAGCGAGCCCCGCTTGCCAGCCACGCTGTCCGGTGATCTGTGAATGTGCAGATCCTTCTGCGCATGCACAGATCGCCCAAACCCGGCTCTTCCAGGTTGCAATCTACTCACCACAGGCAAGTAGCTTGCATTATTTGTTGAGCCCTGCTTATCAATAAACTGGGCAAATAAAACTTAGATGGGGCTACTATAAGATGGGTGCATAACTGGCTGAATAATCACTCTCACAGTAGTTATTAACAGTTCACGATCCTGCTGGAAGGGCATAACAAGTGGGGTTCTGCAGGGGTCTGTTTTGGACCGGTTCTAGTCAATATCTTCATCAACGATTTAGATATTGGGATAGAGAGCATGCTTATTAAGTTTGCAGGGTTGCAACTACTTTGGAGGATAACTCAAAATGAGCTGGACAAATTGGAGAAATGGTCTGAAGTAAATTGGATGAAGTTTCATATAGACAAATGCAAAGTACTCCACTTAGGAAGGAACAATCAGTCTCACACATACAGAATGGGAAGCGACTGTCTAGGAAGGAATACTGAAGAAAGGGATCTAAGGGCTAGAGTGGACCACAAGCTAAATATGAGTCAACAGTGTGACTGTTGCAAAAAAACCAATCATAATTCTGGGATGCATTAACAGGAGTGTTGTGAGCAAAATACGAGTACTCATTCTTCCACTTGAAGCCTAATCAGAGCAGATGCGCTGATTAGGCCTCAAGTGGAGTACTGTGTCCAGTTCTGGGCACCATATTTCAAGAAAGTTGTGGAGAAATTGGAGAAGGTCCAAAGAGGAGCACAAGAATGATTGAAGATCTAAAAAGCATGACCCATGAAGGAAGACTGAAAGAACTGGGCTTGTTTAGTTTGGAAAGGAGAAGACTGAGAGGGGACATGATAGGGTCTTTGGTATCTAAAAGGGTGTCACAAGGAGGAGGGAGAAAAATTGTTCTCCTTGGCCTCTGAGGATAGGACAAGAAGCAGTGGGCTTAAACTGCAGCAAGGAAGGCTTAGGTTGGACATTAGGAAAAACTTCTTAACTGTCAGGGTGGTTAAACACTGGAATAAGTTGCCTCGGGAGGCTGTGGAATCCCCATCTCTGGAGATATTTAAGAGCAGGTTAGATAAAGGTCTATCAGGGAGGATCTAGATGGCACCAGGCCCTGCCATGAGGGCAGGGGACTGGACTCTCCAGATCCCTTCCAGTTCTAGCGGTCTAGGATCCTAAGATCAGTTACACGAACCCAACATGCCCCAGCGCCAAGGAGATTCCTGAGCCGGGCCCCAGCCACCACCCTCCATGCCCCTCCCCCAGCGTGCCCCGCTGCCAGACCCGCGCAACTTAAGAGGACCTGCCCACCCCCCAGGAAGCAGGGGGGCGGGGGGCTACTGCGCTCTCGGCCAAAGCAGCGCCCCCGCCGGTGCCACCAGCGCCCGCTCCCCAGGGCGGGAGTCTCACCTCATAGAAGGCCTGAACCATCTCCACCAGCACCCACTGCTGCCCCGTCCCCGCCGCCGCCATCGCCTGCGCCGCTTCCAGGCCGCGGCGCGCACTGACGTCAGCCGGCGCAGGCAGAACCGGGGGAGACGCTGATACGTCACTGGGCCGTGACCACGCCCTTCCCCTGCCACGCCCCCGAAACCCGCGTGTCGTTAAGCAAGGACCTGGGGAGGGGAAGGCGGGGCGGGGCCATTGGCCGCTGCGCGCGCGGGTCCTAGCGCCGCTGCGCTCGGCGCGCCCCATGGGCATAAATCGGCCCCTGGCCTCCTCCGTGCTCGCCGACAGGCCTGCGCAGCGCCTCTTGCGCACTGGGCAGGGCCGGCAACTGGCCGCGTTTGCTGCCTTACCTGCGCGAGCAGCGGCCCCGCCTTCACTGGGGGCACCCGGGCCGTGACCCAGGGTCCTAGCGGTGCAAATTTCTGCCGAGGGCGGGTGTCAAGAGCTGTGAGGAATATACATTGTCCTCGTTTGTAATAGGGGGCTCGAGTCCCTGCTGGATCCGCTTTACGTGCGTGTCGCTAGTTCTGCGTAGTCCCTGACACATCACAATACACCTCTTTCATTTAAATAACCTCGTGACTGAATGTCTACAATAAACCAACTTCCTCCTTATGGTTAACACTGGTCTGTCCCTTAGTCTGTGTCCCGTGCGTGAGAGAGGGGGATAACGAAGCTCTGTGTGTAAGACAGAACAGGGGTACGAGCAGGGCTACTGCTGCCCATCAGTGACAGGACAACGTGCAGGAGAGACACGAAGAGCAGAGATGAGGGAAAATATTATGCATTGAAAGAAGAAAACACAACTGTCCTGATCCCAGAACTAGAGCAAAGAGATAGCCATGCTTAAGTACGCATTGCACCATGGGAGGAGGGAAAAGTTGAGGGCAGAGTGGTGGGAGGCGGCGTTCAATACAACAGTACCTGTAAGAAATTTAAGTGTCAGAGGATCAAAGCAGAGGATTAGAGTAAAGCAGGAGAGAGTCCTCAGAGCAGGAAAGTTTTGGGGCATTCAGGAATAAGGGCAGGGGGGATGTAGGAAGTGCAGGAATCTGGGCACACAAGCTGCACACTTTCTCCTTGATAGGGGAAGAAGAAAAGCAGCAGAGTTCCAGGTGCATGCAGCTGCAACCCCCCTCTAAAGGCTGCAGGTCAAGTCTAGGAGTTGGGGCAGCCATCAACAGGGGAGGAGGGACACACACCTTCAGCCAGATCCTTTCACCTGTCTGGTTGCCTGCTTCTTATCAAAGCATCCTGGAGGAGAGCTCCAGGAGCTGGTTGGGAGCCTCTGTAGCCAAGTGCCCCACCTTCTTTTTGCCAGAGCCCTGCACCAGGGCATGCTGCTTTTCACCTCTGGATTTGGGTCCCCCTGTGGCCATAGTCCTGCAACGTGTGCCATGTCCTGCAAGCCACCTAGTTGTGCCCCGCTGAACACTATTTCTTTCTTTTTCATGGCGTTGGGGCAAATACTTGAAAACAGTTTCTAGGATTAGTTTTGTTCATTGTCACAAAATTCTTTTATTTAGAACACATTGGGTAATTACTAAACTTCCAAGAAAAGTTATATAAAATTATATGACTGGTTATTGAGCATTGTTCCCCCAAAGGTGCCACCTGCACAGGAACACACCAATAATTTGAGCCCCGCCCACCTCCTCACCAAAGCTGCACAGTGGCTGCTCAACTGTTCTGGGGTGTGAGGCTGCCCTGCCCAAGGAGCAGTAGGGCAGCTACCATGCAGGCCTGGCCCCAGAGCTGGAGCTGCGAGACACGTGGTGGGTGGCAGCTACTCCAGCATCTGGGGCTAGAGCCAGAGCTGCATGGCGGGTGACTGGCAGTTGCTCCTTCAGCAATCCCAGCTGGGGCCAGGGCCAGAGCTGGGTCACAGACACGCAGTGGCTGCTCCAGCAGCTGCAGCTGGGGCCAGAACTGGAGCCATGTGGTAGAGAACTGGTCTGGCAGATGTTCTGATGGCCCTATTGGGGCCAGAACCGGGGCGGCATGGTGGGGGGTCTGGGGTGCTCCAGCGGCCAGCGCCTGGTAGGGTCACGTGGCAGGGGTGCACTACCTGGGAGAGAGTCTTGGGGAACAGCGCCATTGGTTGCCACAGTGGCACACATCTGAACAAGTGCATATGACCTTGTTGGTGCAGCTGACAAAGCTCACTCTGCTCATGGATGGAAAATCTTAGAGGGAACACTGTTCTTGAGTAAATGTATTTGGCAGAAAGGCTAAAAGGACGCTGTGCAGAATCTTTTCATTTCTGTTTTTCACAGTTCGATAAATGTGCCAGATGTTTCTTGACAAGCACTTACAAAACCAAATTTATTTACCGTCTCTCATCACCCTTCCCATAAACCTTGGCCCTCTTCAAACTGCAACGTCTCTCTATCACAACTTAATCAGTTCTAAGTAGCAGAATGATTTAATTGTACATGAAAATGTTAATGATACATATGTTGCGTTCTGTTATGCCACATTTGCTATGACATTGGTAATCCATCACTGATGATGATGACAATATTGTTGCAATTCTCATAGAATGCTATGGATATGACTCCACCAGGCTCATCAACAGAGGGAGTGAAGAGGACAATTGCCCCAGGGCCTGGTGATTCTCAAGGGCCCAGGGCTTGTGGCTGCCACCACTGCTACTGTGGCAGCAGCAGTTGCTGGAATCCTGGGCCTTTTAGAATTGCCATTAGAGTGCCACACCGCGTGCTCCATAAGGGGTGGGGTGGAGACTGGTCATCACATTGTAGCTCCCTCAATGGCTGTTCTGACACCTGCCCAATTGTTGGTTACTTTAATTGCTGTTGTCTCTGAAGATCTAATATATGGCAGGTTCCCCAACTTATAGCACATTTTAGTGACAATCATATAACACAATCTCCTAACTTCATATGCACCAAAGATTTGTTTCAGAGAGGTAGCTGTGTTAGTCTGTTTCAGCAAAAACAACAAGGAATCCAGTGGCAACTTAAAGATTAACAATTTTACTAGGGCTTAAGCTTTCATGAGTTGCAACTCACTTTGTCACATGCATGAAGTGAAAGAATCTGTATCCCTACCATCTGATTCTTTCACTTCATGTATCTGACACAGTGAGTTGCAACTCACAAAACCTTATGCCCTAATAAAATTGTTAGTCTTTAAGGTGCCACTGGATTCCTTATTGCTTTTACTAAAGAGACATATATTTAGATAAAACAATGGGTTTCAGCTGTTCATGAATTTTCCCCTAATATTGTACATGGCATGCTTTATATGCAAGATCGCAATTATATACAAAATAGGGAATAAGGGGGGGATACAAGGTGCCCCCCCGAGTTATATAGAGTGTCACGTTGCTCTTCAGATTATCTTTGAAGAGCTTATATGGAAAACCTTTCATTTGTCCAGATTCAGCTGCCCATACAATATCTGTTTTGGGAGACAGTGGTCTTCCATTCTGATGACATGGCCAGTCCTCCTAAGTTTGCTCACAGAGAGGCAACAAGGTGGGGGAGACAGGACCTTGTGGTTGCGGGAGCTGGCTTAAAAGTTGGTTTCGCCCCAGCACTGTCTCTGCAGTACCGCTCTGTCTGCCTCCTGCTGCCTCTATTACAGCCAGCGGGGAGAGAGGAGAGGTCTGAGGAAGGATAGGGGAGGTTGCTGCAAAGCAACAACAAATCTCGCATTGATCTGGGATGCTGCACCTCTACATTTAAAGTGCAGAGCCATAGTGCTGGTGGCTCCCGGAGCCGGCATGAGCCAGGACTGCTCAATTCCAGCTCAAGCTGGCTCCTGGAGCTACCCCCACTGTGGCTCTGCAGAGCGGTCCTTATCGACACATCATGTAATCGATACAATATGTATCAACTACACAATTAGCCAGATAACCTCAATTTAATATCCTTAGTGCCAGATGCTTCAGAGGGAATGAACAGAACAGGACAATTAATGAGTGATCCAACCCCTGTCATCCAGTCCCAGCTTCTTGCAATCAGAGGTTTAAGGTCACCTGGAGCCTATGGCTGCATCCCTGATCATATTGCCTAATAGTCATTGATGGACCTATCCTTTGTGAACTTATCTAATTCTTTTTTTAACCCAATTATACTTTTGACTTTAACAGCATCCCTGGCAATAAAATCTACAGGTTGACTGCATTGTATGAAGAAGTATTTCCTTATGTTTGTTTCAAACCTGCTGCCTATTAATTTCATTTGGTCATCCCTGATTCTTATGTTATGTGAAGGGGTAAATACCACTTCCATATTCATTTTCTCCATGCCGTTCATAATTTCATATCTTTCTTCAATTGTATCTTTTCAAAGATGAACAGTCCCGGTCATCATACAGAAGGTATGTCTACACAGCAACATTATTTTGAAATAACTAGCGTTATCAAATAACTTAGTCCATGTCTACACAGTAGGAAGTTATTTCAAAATAATTGTGAAATACTGTCAAACTGGAGGACTTCTTACTCCGACTCCTGTCACCCTCATTGTACAAGGAGTTAGGGAAGTCGGAGGAAGAGTACTCTATTTCAAAATAAGTGCTGTGTAGATTCTCCCAATTTTGAAATAAGCTATTTCAAAATAAGCTACGCAATTGACATAGCTCAATTTGCGAAACTTATTTCAAGTTAAGCCCTGTGGGGGGAGACACCCAAAATCTCATCCATATCCTTACTCATTTTTTGCACTTCTCTGTACCTTTTCCAGTTCTATTATATTTTTTGAAATGGGGGCAACAAGCACTGCATATCTCATTCAAGGTATGGGTGTATCATGGATTTCTAAAGTGGCATTACGATATTTTCTGAATTACTGTCTATCTCTTTTTTAATAGTTCCTAACAATATGTTGGAAGCCTCCCAGAAGAATTGGCAGAAACCACATCAGGTGTGACTTTTAGAACTAAACTAGAAAAGCATTAAAACAACAGGGTGCAATCCTGCACTGGCAGAGAGAAGGACTGGATGATCTAATTGGTTTCCTATAAATTCTATAACCAAGTTCAGCTGGGAGTTTGGCATTCAGCCAAGAGGATGTCAGCATCAAGTACAAATGGTGTCCTAACTCAGTTAAGAGCTCAGCCTCAAGCCAAGCAGGCATGCCCCAACACA